CCCTAGTCAGCGGACTTGTTTCAACTGTGGGGTTTCCGTGGCCTATTGCAATTAATTGTCCTGATAGTCACCCTAAAGGTATTGTACTGTGAGAGTACCCCAGATCTTCCCCACTGTATTTCATAGAAACTGGACATGAAACATCTGATGCAATGCTCTCTACAACCTTCAGTACTCTAGATATTTCCGTGGCCCTTCAACCGCGAACCCGGAGAGGAAACAGACTCGTGGTTCTATACTACCCGAACCGGGGTCATTCTTCCAAATTTGGGGGGAATTCGAGGGCCCCAGTCAAAAGTCCCCCTGGGGAAGAGGGAGAATGAGTACCCTCCCCGTTCACAATTCCTTTGATGCCTTATCATTCGAGAAAGACAGTCCTGTGATGATGTTTTTTCACACGTCTCTGTAGTGATTTTGGGATGAAGTGGAAAAAAACCCCTTTTTTGATGGAAATCCCCATTTTTGTTTGCCAAATTTCCAATTTCACGTGGCCTATAGTGCAAGCATCTGTTTTAATGAGTCTTCATTGTTCATTGACTCTGGTGCGCAAGCAATATTATCAGTCTATTTTTTTAAGGTAAGCAGTTTCGACATGCCTCCTCGAGAACCGCCTGTGTCCCCCCTTAGTGGAGTAGCTGGTTCTCACCTGCGTGTCCGTGTCGGGGTTCCCTCACCTTTTCTACCCAAAGGGAGAGACTGTCTGCTTCCTTTCCTTTTGTCGACCAATTACTTTCCCCGGTGTCTTGTTTGTTCCTAGAGACTTTCGCATTGGCTTTACCCTTTTTGATGGCATGCCCAATGAGACTTGATTTTCCTTTTGGGGTTACCAGCCTGGATCCCAGATCTGCCATACTGCCGCGAGTACGACATTCAGATTAAGTCCCTTTCAAAGCCCAAAGCATTTTCAGTAGCGTACCCAAGCGGTCAGGGACTGGTGATCCCCGTCACTTTGTCTGTTTCCCCTACAAAATTTGGCTGCAAGATAGTGCCAGTTCCTCATGTGTCCCCAGGACGCTTGACTACCTTGAGTGCGAGCCTATCCCGCAATGTCGCTATTTCAATAGTAGTTTTTCCAGGGGACGCCTTTTCGAAAAAAACGATTACTTTCAACTAGTTAAAGCCTCTCTTGTTGGTGTCACATGCCGTTGCAAAAGAGTTTCTTCCGCGGCTAGTGCCCCTCACTAGAGTGTCTGTTTTTTTGTTCAGTGTTCCAGATGGTGGTACGTCCCCAGTTTACGTGTTCCGCAAAGTAAAGGGTTTTTTTTGTTGGATAGTAAATACATTTCTTCCTTTCAAAAAACCCTTTTGGTCCGTGTTCGTTCAGAGCAAATACCCAATTTTTGACCTTTTTCATATCTTTCCCTGTTAGGGAGAGGATAGTTTCACCTGACCATGGGTGGGGCTATTTCTACCGGGGGGAACTCATCCTTTCACTGGGGCAATCCGTTCCCCCAGTTGAGGGAAAGATTGCTCCACTGATTCCCCCGACGAGGTCAAGCTTTTTTGGGCTCTGTTGAACAAAAATCGTAAGCCCCTTGCCTTAAACCCCCCGGGGAGAAAATGGGTATAACGAAAATTTTTGTCCCATCATATCCCACTTGAACCTGGTACTAGACCTATCTATATACCTGCGTACAGAATGCCTCATTCACAAATTGTTGTCGCAGAAGAATTGATCAATCAAATGCTTGATGGAGTTATTGCATTTAGCAATTCACCCTGGAATGCACCCTTGATCCTATTATCTAAGAGGACGGTACTTGTCGCCCAGTGATTGACTTTAGGAAGTTAAATGCGAAAATTATTCCAGATCGCTTCCCACTTCCTGTACTTGGTGATCTTTTACGTAACATCGGAGATAACAAAGTCTTTTCGACCCTGGACTTGTTACAAGGGTTTTGGCAAGTCCCTCTTCACGAGGACAGCCAAGAACTAACCGCATTCTTCACTCCTACAGGTCATTATCACTTCCTGCATATGGCCTTTGGGTTACTCTCTTTCCCTATCACATTCTCAAGGCTCATGACTAATATCTTTAGAGGTAATCAATATGTTCAAAGACGTGGATATGCACTTTAAAAGACTTGCTGTGGTACTTGGTAAGCTTGAAGCAGCCAATTTAAAGATCATACTGTCTAAATGTCAATTTTTCAGATCAAAAATCAAGTTTCTTGGTCACGTAGTCACTCCTAGAGGGGTTACGACTGAGCAAAGTAAAGTAACTGCAGTACTAAATTTTCCATCTTCCAAAACTGCTGATGCCATAAAATCCTTTGTGGGCTTAGCAGGTTTTTGTAGATCTTTCATTGCCAATTTTTCTTCCATAGCTGCTCCTCTGAGTTGCTTAAGAAAGATGCTCCTTTCGTTTGGACCTTCCGTCAAGAAAGAGCATTCCAAACTAAAAGAAAAGCTAATATCTGCTCCAATTTTGAAGTTTCCAGATTTTTTTATCTGACAACTGATGTTAGTTCAATTGGCATAGGTGCCGTACTAGCTCAGAAGACTGATGGCAAGTACAACGCAGTTGCATTTGCTAGCCGAGTCCTTACAAAGGCTGAGCGTAATTATACAGTAACTGAGCAAGAAGTTTTAGCAATATTATGGTCTTTAAAACACTTCTGAGACATTATTTATCAGTACTCTGTTCATGTCTTGACAGACCATACTCCACTGATACCTTTATTCCAGAACAAACAACCTACTGGAAGGTTAGCCAGATGGACCCTGACTATTCAAGAGTTCAACCCAACCTTTGAACACTTACCTGGCAAGTCAAATGTAGTCGCAGATGCTTTATCACGACATGTTAGTACAGTAACTGCAGACCCTCCATTTACTGCCGAAGATGTAAAGAATGCTCAAAGAACAGATCCCATGTGGTCTTGTGTGATTCGATTCCTGCTCCAGGAAGATCGTATTCTGACTGTGAAGCGACCAGCACTCATCAGTGACTTAGTCATGAACCAAGAATTACTGTATCGAACAGCCAGTAGGGTACTTCTAGCAGACGAGTATACCGGTTAGTAATTCCACAGTCACTAGTAAATGTAGCCTTACAGCTAGTTCACGATGTGCCAGGTGTTGTGCACCCTGGTATGGATTGTTCAGTAAAATAAGCCAGATTGAAATACTTTTGGCCTCATATGGTAACTAATATTTCTGACTATGTTAAGAAATTTAGTGTGTGCATGCAACATAAAGGAAATGTTAATGGTCCTAATCCAATCTAGGTGTATCCAACTACTAGCGAACCATGGGAAAGAGTTGCGGTTGATCTGTTAACTAATTTCCAATGTTCCCTCCAGGGCAACAAACATCTGTGTGTTATGGTAGACCATTTCACCAGATATTGTTAGTTCCTATTACAGATAAGACTGCCGAGACAGTAGCTAAAGCATTTAAAGAACACATTATCTGCAGGCATACCACCCCTAAGTCCCTAGTAACAGATAATGGAGGTGAATTCTGTAATGAGATTCTTGAAGAATTGTGTACCTTGTACAAGATCTCTAAATCCACCATTGTTCCTCATCATCCTGCCAGTAATGGGTTAGCGGAACGAACCAATAAGAGAGTACTTGATGTCTTGAGAGCCACTATCAATCCCAACAGTGAAACTTGGGATAAAGTTATACCTGATTTTCAGTGTGCCATAAATTTTGTTTACAATGTTCTATAGGTGACACTCCACATTATGAATTGTACGGTGTAGATAAACGTTTGCCTTATGAGTTGTTATATTCTACCCCGAAACCAAATTACAACCCTGATGATTTCATAGCAACTTGTACCAGCTTAGCTCAAAGTGTTTTTAGAAGACTCCGTGAAGCACTTCATAAATCAACAGCAGAATTTACAAGGGTCGCAAACACTCGAGCAAAGCCGACCAAAATTACAGTAGGTTCGAGAGGTATGCTGACTAACTTTAACAAAAAGTCTGCAATGCCAAAGCTCGATCAAAAGTTTGTTAGTCCTTATCGAGTAGTTGAACATATTAATGACAATAAGTATAAGGTTAGAGAAATTAGTACTGGTCAGTATAAAGAATCACATTTGGATCATATGAAGTTAGTATGTGATGATAATGATGTTCCAACCCAGACTAATGTGACAGACTCTGACAATCCTCCTGACTCTGTACTCTCTACCTCTGATACTCAGTCAGACGATCAACCTGAATGTCGTTATTCCCTACGTACACGACAGGTATTGAGAAATCCTCAAGTATCATTTGCAACTACCAATTCAGAGCTGCTTCAAATACAGCATGAGTTAGTCAGTGCAACAGAGTTTGATCCTCCCAGAGATGACACCCATTCTGCGTATGTCAATCTCACCCTAGCAGAGTTGGGGTTAAATGTAAATAACCTGTATAGATGAATAATATAGTTTACATTGTATTTCTACTGTCTGCTACAATATCAACTTATTAATATTCAAGAATTTTTTTTTTTTGTGTTCACGTTCTCTCTGAATTTTGAGATTTAACAGTCTAGATTTGAGTGCACCAAGTCTGCCTTTTCTGTTAAACACTTCTTTCTTTGTACATATCCTTCCTCAGAATCCGTAGACCACATGAAAACAGATCGATTGATCAAAAAATTTTTTTTATCACATTTATTGTGTAATGCCAATGTTGAGTCTCACTCTAGAGTCATGCTATTACATACCTTGTAATGCATTACCATAGGTTACGTTCACTTCCATTCTGATATTCTCCTTATGTTCTAATGTTCATTTGTTGTGTACTTTGACATTGTATAGAATCAGCCCAAGCCATATGCCTGCCATCTCTAGTTTGTATTAGCTGCATGTCGGGACGACATACGTTAGCGTCGCCGAGGTCTCGGTAGTACCATACCAGTAACCAGTTACCAGTGTCAGTTTACCTGGAGTTTACCTGGAGAGAGTTCCGGGGATCAACGCCCCCGCGGCCCGGTCTGTGACCAGACCTCCTGGTGGATCAGAGCCTGATCAACCAGGCTGTTACTGCTGGCTGCACGCAAACCAACGTACGAGCCACAGCCCGGCTGGTCAGGTACCGACTTTAGGTGCTTGTCCAGTGCCAGCTTGAAGACTGCCAGGGGTCTATTGGTAATCCCCCTTATGTATGCTGGGAGGCAGTTGAACAGTCTCGACCCCCTGACACTTATTGTATGGTCTCTTAACGTGCTAGTGACACCCCTGCTTTTCATTGGGGGATGTTGCATCGTCTGCCAAGTCTTTTGCTTTCGTAGTGAGTGATTTTCGTGTGCAAGTTCGGTACTAGTCCCTCTAGGTCTAGGATTTTCCAGTGTACTCACTACCAACCGTCTGTGTGAATCACTTGTTATTCACTGTTACCGCTGACCCTAGCATGATTTGAATGCCGCTCACCCCTCTGAGGCACTCAGCAAGCAGTTCAAGTAGAGACATTAGGAGAGACAGCAGGTCAGGCGTGGCGCTCCCCATATATTCCATCCAATATACTGGTACATCCAAGGTGAGTGTTTATTACCCATTCCATGTTTCGGACCCCACATGACAAGTAGACAGATCTAGTCTATTTTTTTTCATTGATGATTAATTGATGAAGCATTTTTCTATCTGTCGCTTGATGATTCATTGATGAAAGGTCCATTTATCTTTATTGACTGATGGTTCATTGATGAAAGATCTATTGATGAATATCACTGTTAAAGCTGTATCCAGTTACGAGGTTAAAAAAATACACTGTTTACATCTTTATGTTTCATTTAATTTTTTTACAAAGTAAAAAAGTGTCTGGGGAAACTCTCCTGGATGTCATCAACCAGCCAGCAACTCACCCTAGGGAAGGGGTCAGGCGTTGACTGGAACTTGAGGTAGCTGCACTGCACAGAGAAGATGCAGCCTCTCATCTCCCAAATACAAGACCAGACGAACACTCTTGTGGGCAGATGACGAGATTTATGGAGGTGATGAAGTATGTGCAGATGTTGGCATGTGTGCGTGCGTGTGATCCTTCGTGGAAAGAAATGACTTACTGGCAGTAGTGAAGGTATCAACTTGTTGAAATTATCTCGTCAGTGATCAAGAGTATGCATAATAAAATAAATACCTAAGATATGATGGTGGATATTGTCACAACTTGGGTAAAAAAAATTTAACTGAAAGAATTGGTGGCGTCACTGTTCAATAACAGTGCTCTGGAGGTCATCGCAGTAATAACACTTAATGAAGAAAATGGATGGCGTGGTTTGGGAGCTGTAGCTCGCCTCTGAGCAAGAACACATTATAAAATGGAGTGACGGACGTTGTGTCGTCCTGTGTGGAAGTGATTATTTCTATGCCTGTGAGATCCAAGGTGACAGGTCCAGACCAGGGATGGTGGGGCTGTCACAAGGAACTCTCTCATTCCTGAAAGAGAAGACAACATATCAGGTTCATTTAGAGACTTATTCAAATATTAAGAAATTATACAAGGGTTTTACCTTGAAATTACCAGCAAATGGCGCTTTATACAGAAAAAAGTAACAAAAGAGAACTTTTAATAGCCTAAAGTTTTGTAAGTACTGCAGAATGATGCTAGAAAAATCTTGATCACAGTTTTTTTTCTCTCTACCAGATACTTTGTAAAAATTTGTTGGTGAAATTGTTTATTATGCAGACAGGTCCAAAGCTATATATATATATATATATATATATATATATATATATATATATATATATATATATATATATATATATATATATATATATATATATAATATAGGGAGGTACCACCTCTAGAATTGTCGTAGGGACCCTCATCCTCAGAGAAAAGAATAAACTTGCTTCAGGGAAAACTCAAGGTTCTCCCTGAAGCTGTTTGAGAGTTTTCTCCTACCACCCCCTATATTTCAAGTATGTTTTATTTAAAGACAAAATACATTGGCCAAACATTCACAATATATATAATATAATTATATATATATATAATATATATATATATATATATATATATATATATATATACACACACACACACACAAAGTAACTTACAGGCCACGAGGTTGCCTGAAGGCCAGGGGCTGGACGTAGCCTATCATGTCTCCAGCCTCACAGATGATGCGGGCCCAGGATATCATCCGGATTGAATTAAGTTGAGCTGTAAGTGTGATGTGGGTCATAATCTTATTAGCATAAATTTTGGCAATTGAAACCGACAAATTTATTTAAAAAGACACGTGAGCAAATAGGACATTCAGAAAACACTAGGGCATATAAGAGAACGTTTCAGTCACAGGACCGAAACGTTTTCTAATAAATATGTCCTAGTGTTTGCTCAAGTGTCTTTTTAAACAATAACCCTGTTAAAATAGTCGTAGTTCTGATTTACCAAAATATACTACATGTGGAAAATTTAGATAATTTTCCTGGGATTTGTTTGTTTGAATTGATGGGGGATAATAATGTTTATCTGAAATTGTGTAGGTGTTTATCTTCAGTGACTTTTAAAAGATGTTCTGTGGCATGAGAACTTATATTCTCTATTGTTTCCTTATATACTTTAAGGAGTTGAATAAGTAAAGTGAAAATGATATAATTTAGAGTAAATTAATATTTCGATAATAAAAATGTAGTTCACACTGAAAGCGTTATAAAATTAATTGAAAAGATGTACTGGTAGACAAAACGTAGGAGAGGAACGAAAATGGCGGAGTAGTACGGATTGGATTTGTAATTTGTGGAGAATTAATCTCATTTAATGTAAGCCGACAGAAATAGTATCGGCAAATATAATGTCCTGTATAATAAGTGAATTGAATGTGTATCTGGAAGGGTTCAAATACAAAGTGAAACTATCAAAATAAGAATGATACAAATGAAAAACGTGAACTGTTGGTGGAGAATCAACATTGCTCATCACATGTATCATCAAATACGTGATGTACACCTAGTGTGAATTACATCTCGCTACAGGTAATGTGTCTATTTATTGTCGAATAGTAGTTTACCAGCCTTAGGGAGGCGTTAGGATATATCAAAGCCAGTAATTTGGTAAGATATATTTTTATATAGTGTATAAAATTTTAAAGAACAAACAAACAAATCCTTAGTCGTCAAGTTCACAATAATTTTTCCTTTATATATTCAGTCCACAATCAAAATTAATACAGCCAGTGTTACTGGCTTGAAATATTTAATTTGATAAATTCAAGGACTATATGTTCACATAATTTAGGGTCCAGATGTATGAGTTTAAGGAGGTGAGATGGACATCAAAGGTGGGAGAGTACTGTGACTGTTGACAGTCCCACCTGTCTCAGAGGTACAACTAGTATATGTAGGTGTAATTGTTTTAGATGTACCAGATTTTTCCTGTTATGTGTGTGAAATGTTAAATCAGGACTGTAACTGAAATTCACCCACAAGTTTTCAAACTATAATCCGACTAACTTGTAGTATTGCATTGGCCAGATTTTTAGACCATGTCTGAATGGTTAACAGTCTTACTGACATATCCCAAATAAGTTTTTTTTTTTTTTTTTGCACATTTGTATGATTTTTTTTTTATTTGAAAATTAAAGTTTATTGGCTAGAAAGTCCAATTTTTAATGACTTCATTTGGATATGGAGGTGTTTATTAATTTGACTTCTGATTTGCAAGCTTATTATCGTTTGGGTTTGAATACTGAACTCCAAGCCTATCAGCATATTAGTTTGACTAATAATCTGCAAGCCTATCCATGCATTAATCTAACTAATAATCAGCAAGCCTATCAACGTATTAGTTTGACTTCACATCTGCAAGCCTGACAGCTGGTGCGGACATAACCATACCTTCAGTAAATGAACTGGGCATATCTGCCAAGTCGTAGAAGAATCTGTCTCCCCGCTTCAGCCGGGTAAACTGGTCACCAACGATGCACCTGTGGTGAAAAAACCATCTAGTCAAACATTTTTTTTTCGGACGAGAAAATATATGCCGGCCAATAAAGTTTCTCTGAAAACGTGGTTTGTCATGAGATAGCTAAAAAAAAAAAAATACCAAATTAATGAAAAAAAATTCGCAGAGAAAGTGGCTGATAAATGGTTATTTATTACTTGATGACAAACGTCATGAAATAAAACTAGTCTTCCTTGTTTTCTTTGTTTTTCGTCATCTGCTCTACCTTCAGGGAAAATTGTTTTCCTGCTAGAGAGCCCATCATTTTCATTTTTCCCAACACTAATGAATTATCTTTCCTCCCCTCCTGTCCTCTTCATTGTATTTTATTGCATCTTCCTTCTACCCCATCCCTTGTCGTTTTCTGTTTGTCTCTTTCCCTATCGTTGTCTGTATTTCTCTCCACCTGCCCATATCCCTAGTGTTCCCTAATCTCCCTGTCCTCAACTTAATGCCTTGTATCTGGCAATTATTTCCTACATGTGTCGGGCATATCTCCCTGCCTCTTTTGCTCTTCATTTATCACTTCTGGCCTTGCCTCATACCTGAAGGTGGGTCCAAGGAGAGCTCCAGGTGCCGGCCTCTCAGAGACTCCAGCCACGAAGGGGTCGATGTCGTCCACTGTAGCGTAGAGCTGACTGAAAGTCTGCACCACCTGTCAAAGAAGTAGCGGTCAGACCTTCTTAGTCACATAGTGATTGCTCCAGTAGGAGTATGGTAGTCAGAGCTTGCGCGTTATGTCTGCAAGTGTTAAGTGATATGTATGGGGTCTCGGGTGTTGAGTATTCGTTCAGGGTAGCGGGTAATAGTATGACGTAATGTACTATGTTAAGTGGCTAAGTGGTCTTTTATCGACTTTTGTGTGTGGCATGCAGGACAAATTATAATTATATTGATGATCGTTTAAATGGTAATAAGAAGGCTTTAGTTTATATGGTGTGAATAAAAATCTCCATTAACATTTTAATTTTTTGTACTAATCAAAATGCACATTATTTTTAAAATAATAATTTCCATGAAAATATAGACACACTGACTCTTTCTTCCTCTTTTTTTTAACAAATACTTAAGGAATGTGCAGGAAAATCATTGAAGTCATATTTATGTAATTAAGCTGAAAGTTGTTGCTAACTTTAGTTCATCTTTTATTCCGTTCTCCCTTTATTTCTTTCTTTCTTTCCCTGTCCCTCTGCATTCATTTCATCTCACTTTGATTTACTCGCAAGTCTTACCTCTACAGGAAGAACATCAAGTAGGTCCTCAAACGTACGTGCCCTAGGAAGTCCACATGCTTCCCTTAGATCGTTGTAAGGGGCAATACCATGGTCCCTGGCTCTCTGGGTGTTGAGAGATATCAAGTCCATACCTTGCGGCATCTCCCGAGTCTGCAACGTAGACACCAACCAGTCGGTCAACCATATCTCAAACCGTCTCTTCTATTAAACCAAAATATTTATGTATCCAATTTACTATATTTTTACACACTTGATACTGTATATCATGCATTTTTTTTTATTCGCCGGTGCTCTCCCGGCCCGGGTCTTTTCCAATAGCGGTGACCCGGCCTTGGCTCCCTGTCTAGGGAGTATCTCGAGACCTATGTCTCCCGTGGGAGGAGGTACAAGTACCCTCTCATCTTTGGGACCGACTGTCCCCAGGCCTAGCCACAGTCCCCGTCCTCACGAGGCTCATAGGGAGAAGCTAAACCTCTGGTCCGCCATCTGCCCCGCTCCAAAGGGGCTCGTGGGGATGGCAGTCTTGTGAGCTGCAGGTAGTAGCAAGCTCAGGCTATCATGCATGTTAATTCACCTGTGGTGTATACGCATACATGTATCATGTGTCCGAATACACCAGCAGTTTATACTCATACTGTACATATGTCATGGTTCTTTAAATACTTCAGTGGGCTTGTGAACCACCAAAAATCAATTTAATACTTTATAAACAAGCATAAAAGAATAGCAACCCAATTTGAATATTTTGTCTGATAAATACAGTTTCTAGCACCAGAAAGAAACATGTGGTACTTTAGATTACAATATTTTTGAAGCTGTTTTAGCTTTTCTTTCCTGAAATATTCTGAAAAAAAATGAACATGCAGTCTCGAAAATCAGTTTTGTAAAGCCTAATAATTATGATAAATTAGCATGGTTTATGTTTCCTCAGTCCTTGCTAGTTGGTATATTATGGCTGATCCAGGTGTTTACCCCGGGGGCAAGAGTAGAGGATCCAGTTAGAGGGATTAGGTAATATTATGGCAGATAATATAAGAAATCACTTCATCTACTTCGGTGCTAGAGGATATGATGTTGGGAAGAGAAGGAGTGAGGAGTTTTTTGCCAAGTATAGGACAGTTACATAAATAATTAAAACAGTATTTTGGCAATTCGAGGAACGAGAAGTACGATGTGTATGGCAACCGATATAAATTATTCACTGGATAAATATTGCATGTTAATTAAGAAGTAACTAATAACTTACCTCGAAGCAGCGATTTCAGAAATGATAATTCACCTCCAAGAGCCTGTTAATGAGCTCAGAAGTAATAACTCACCTCGAAGAGCCTGTTAATGAGCTCAGAAGTAATAACTCACCTCGAAAAGCCTGTTAGTGAGCTCAGAAGTGATAAATCTGTCGAACATCTGGACAGGTTGTGTCGCCATGCCTCGGAGGAACTCGTCCAGCCTGCCAGGAGTGTAGACTTGCCGCGGGTTGTTGAAGTTCTCGTGTAGCTGCAACACTCCCGCAGACTGACCCTTCTTGCCCACTAACCTACAGGGAACCCCCACATACACATTAATGTTAATTCACCTTAGATTAACGCCTAAAATTGCATTATCCCCCATAGCACATCACTATCACCGTAACATTGCACCATCACCTTAACACTGCACGCTGTGTTGTTAAGAAAAAAAATGTTATGATTAAACATTGACACTGGATAATAATACTTTAGATTTTAATATCAACAGTGCACACAAATAATAGTCTGCAAATGAACACTGGGTGTGTGCCAGTAACTGAGGCTACAATGGAAGGTTAGCCACGTAGATAACTATATTCTCTTATCTCCCAGTTTCTTCCTCTTCCCGGTAGACATTCATCCTTTTCGTCTTTCTAAATCCTTGGGCCACTTTTGAAATACTAGATCTGGCATAACATTTCTCGATTACTACACCCAACACCACAAAAAGTAATATTATTATTACTACAATCAAAACTAAGCTCTAAACTACAATAAATGATAAAAATGGTAAAGTCGTGGAAGGATGAGAATACTCTCAAAATAGGCATATTATGGGCGGCGTCTGGTCATCATTGTGTCTTAATGTCCGACATGGCGAATCAACCAGTGATTCTATATACAACACTACAGTAGGACATTTTCGGAAACAGTGCGTGAAGCTGCCAGCTTGTGTGTAGATGAGCTGCTGTTGCTACCCACGTTCGAGAAATTGCTGTTATATGGGGGAAACTCCTATTGCCAGCTATATAAAAAAACTGCTGCTATTAGCTGCTAGAGGGAGGAAATTGCTGCTATTGGCTACTAAATAGTAAAAATGCTTCTATTGGCTGAGGAAATTGCTGCTATTGGCTATTTGAGGAAAATGCTGCTGTTGGCTATTTGAGGAAAATGCTGCTATTGGCTATTTGAGGAAAATGCTGGTATTGTATTTGAGGAAAATACTGCTGTTGGCTATTTGAGGAAAATGCTGCTATTGGCTATTTGAGGAAAATGCTGCTATTGGCTATTTGAGGAAAATGCTGCTGTTGGCTGCAGCCTGGGGAAAATGCTGCCATAGGCTACTAACGTTGGAAAGGAGACTTACAGTGGCTTTTACATTCAGGAAATAAAGAGGCGATTTATTAATGACGTTATTGGAAGAGAACCCTCTACGTCACTTACTGAATCACGTTCTTGCTAAGGCAGTGACCACCTTTCTTACTTGATATTGGTGAAGGGATCTTGATTGAAGGATTTAGAGTTGCCCTGGCTTTCCTCTGATCAAACTTGCTTGTCTCCCATTACCCAAGCGTGGCATGATCATTTTTACTTTAATGTTCCCCAGATTACAACAACAATAATAATAAGCACTTACTGAATCATACCCTGGACGAGGGTGTGGCCGAAGCGGAAAGCAACAGTGGAGAACTCGTTGAGTATAGCCGGGTCGAGGCCGCTGTCGTAGTCCCTGGAGTAGCCTCGTCGCCGTGGTAGTAGCCCATTGGCAACCATGTAGTCCTTGCCTGCAAACACACATGGGTTGTTTTAGGGCAGGGCAGAGCACCCAGGTCTTGCAAACTCTCACGAGTAACACTAGCATGTGATGGAATAAGTGACTAATTTGGCGGTAACACTTCTCTCGTACTCGGGACAAATGAGCATTGTTTTATTCTGTAGATCATCGAGGAGTCTGCTGTCTCTCTAGAGTCAAATAACAAGATTCTTTGTACTCTTGCGAAAGATATTAAAAGGTCTTTATATACTTTTGTTGTTCTTTTAGTAAAGAAAAACAAAGCATGAATATATGACACTTACGGTTGAGTAAAACGTTGCATAAATAAAAGATTCTTCTTTGATATAAGTGTCTTTGTATCATTTGTCGGTTTACAGTCATTCTCGTATGTCCACGTAGGAAATAAGCCGCACTGAGTGCATTTCTTGAGCTTTCATGGGTTAGTAATCTTGACATCGCTAGTAAACACTATTACTACGTTTCAGTCCGTCTTGGACCAGCATTAAATCACTCTCATCTTGATAATGATCTAGATGGAAAATAATATCCTCTAGTTTTCATATATATTTGTGAGTCAATTGTAAACTGTTAACCGCCGTTATGTGGCGTTTATTCTTCAAGTTAAGTACAGATGTTAATATTGGAAGCAATGAGAGAGGGCGATACTTACCAAGTACATTAGGGAGCCACTCGTTGTAGATAATATGCTGGTAAAGGGCCACCACAATCCTCCTGGTCTCCTGATAGAGTCTCTCGTCTGACCAGTGTGGGTTGATGCGTGCCAGCTCCCGGGCTATACGGTTGTGTATTCTCACCCACACTGTGTGCATGATGGACAGTACCACTTGCTCGTTCACCCGGTTGTCTCCTGTGTGGGGTCGTTGGTTAATACAACCTTGGGGACGGGATGTGCTTCCAAGTTTTTAGGTTAGTTGTCGGTAAAAGCTATATAAAGTCCTAAAGTGATGTAAATGGTTTAAAAAAGACCGATATGTTGAAGATTCCCAAATGTTTCACGAGTGTATCATTCTTCATGACATATAGTACTTACCATTCTTTATAACCTTTAATATTGTATTGGTATAGTTTGTTCAATACATACTGAAAATTATTCATACCATTTTTACATTCAGTGTACAAGTCTATGGCTTGTGATCACAATGATCACAAATCCATGAGGTATAACAGGAAAATAAGTAAGTGATTTTAAGAAAATAATTTAGACGTATGAGCGAGTATTGGAAGTAGGCTGTATAGGGTGAGAGGGATGAAGAAAATAACGAAATGATGTAGAGAGGTTTTAAAGTTGCATTATAGAGTGCAGCAGTGATGTGTGGTTAAAAGAGCGAAGAGGAATTCATGATAGTTGTAATAACTAGGAGTAATATCTGTCTGAGGTTGTCCGGTACTGCCGACCCGGGTCTTTACCAGTCGGTGACCAGGCCGTGGTTCCCTATCACCGGAGTGTCTTTGATTCAAGTCGTCCATGGGAAGTGGTACAAGTACCCATTCATCGTCTGGGAGCAATTGTTCCCAGGCCTAGCCCCATTCCCCGTCCTCATGGGGTTCGTAGGGAGAAACTAAGCGCCTTGGACTGTCATAAACCCCGCCCCACTGGGCTCGAAGGGTATGGCAGCGACGTAGCAGCAGACGATGTCAGGAATAATGGATTTGTGATCCATACCGTGCCTGTGAAGGCCTTGTTATGCCCTTCTTTCTAGAAGTGTGATTTGAGCAACTGCTTGAAACTCAACTTCCTCACCAAATTATGGTGAGGAAACCTTAGAGGACGTTTCGGTCCGTAACAGCTGAGAAGAACTGGTAGAAAGCCATTGAACATGTTAGGTAAAAGTAAAGGTGATGAGAAAAAAACAGAAGACACGTCAAGTAAGAAAATGAGGAAAAAGACTGGACCAGGTTGGCTACAGCTTCATCTCTAAACTGTTGCTTAGTTGTGAATTATTCCAGTCATAGTATTGTAACTTTTAATCCTGCTTAAGAAGAAGCGCAGGTTCTGAAAATCTTGTGTACTTGCTGATCAAGTCGGCATCGTGGTACTGTTAATAAGTTAGACATTTATGCAACACTTGGGTATCTATAGGAAACGTGTCACCACACAGTGGCTTCACCAGTCCAGTACAAAGAAGTGGTTGAAGATCAGAAGTTTGAGGTAGTCAGTCTCTCAGCCCGGAGTCGTAATCAGTCCATCAGTCTTGAAAGGAAGACAGCATATGGTAAGATTTGTCAGGAAACAGAGCAAATGTTTCCTGACGCGGGTCTTAGTCATACGATGACCCGCAGCTGGAGCTTTTGGTCATCTGACCAAAACCTTCCGCTGGCTTACCCCCTTTAAAACTTAAGGTTATGATTATAACTAATATACAACAAAGAAGGAACTTATATACTGTAGACAGGTGAGGTGAAGCAGTCGCAGGCGGTGTCACCTCGGACAAATCCCCAGGTGGAAGTAGGTCATGCCGATAGGTTAGGCAAGCTTGGAAATTCCGTGTGGTGCTGCCGTATGGAAGCATGAGGTAATCCTCACGCCTTTCACAACATATGGACATTTTTATTTATTAAAAGCTACCCAGTGTTGGAATACAGTTAATAATGTAAGGGATGAATGGAGTGCTGAATAATGTAGCGCTAGAACGTATAAACCCTCAACTGATGTGATGGATACACAAAGCAAATTTGAAACTAGAAAGACCAAATAGGCGAACATTAAGTGGAAAAAGCTGTGTTTTATTTATAAGGAAACAGGAAAGTTCTATTTCACACACACACACAACACACACACACACACTCGCTGTTGAAATTGCAAAAAAAAAAAAAAAAAAAAATCTTAAAACGCAAAAAAAAAAAAAAAAAAAAAAAAATATTGCTGAAATTTGAAATTGAAAAACTGAAAAAAAAGAATAGTTTTCTTAGAATATTTAAGACACATTAGGTAGGTTTATTATGGAAACATTTCTCCCTCTCCAGTAAATAAATCTTTTCATTGATAAAGCTCCTGGTGGGCGAAATGGCTCCAAAATACAAGTTAGCTAACGTTTCGTACGCATCTCTTTTATAGAGGATAGTGTCTAGTGACACTGTTGGTCACAGCTGGTGACACAAGCTGGGACTCGACTCTCACTGTTGAGTCACAGCTGGTGACACAAGCTGGGACTCGACTCTCACTGTTGAGTCACAGCTGGTGACACAAGCTGGGACTCGACTCTCACTGTTGAGTCACAGCTGGTGACACAAGCTGGGACTCGACTCTCACTGTTGAGACACAGCTGGCGACACAAGCTGGGACTCGACTCTCACTGTTGAGTCACAGCTGGCGACACAAGCTGGGACTCGACTCTCACTGTTGAGTCACAGCTGGCGACACAAGCTGGGACTCGACTCTCACTGTTGAGTCACAGCTGGCGACACAAGCTGGGACTCGACTCTCACTGTTGAGTCACAGCTGGCGACACACAAGCTGGGACTCGACTCTCACTTTGAGTCACAGTGGACACAAGTGGGACTCGGACTCTCAGTTGGCACAGCTGGTGCACAAGCTGGACTCGACTCTCACTGTTGGTCACAGCTGGTGACACAAGCTGGGACTCGACCTCTCACTGTTGGTCACAGCTGGTGACACAAGCCTGGGACTCGACTCTCACTGTTGGTCACAGCTGGTGACACAAGCTGGGACTCGACTCTCACTGTTGGTCACAGCTGGTGACACAAGCTGGGACTCGACTCTCACTGTTGGTCACAGCTGGTGACACAAGCTGGGACTCGACTCTCACTGTTGGTCACAGCTGGTGACACAAGCTGGGACTCGACTCTCACTGTTGGTCACAGCTGGTGGACACAAGCTGGGACTCGACTCTCACTGTTGGTCACAGCTGTGAACAAGCGGGACTCGATCTCATGTTGGTCACAGCTGGTGACACAAGCTGGGACTCGACTCTCACTGTTGGTCACAGCTGGTGACAAGCTGGGACTCGACTCTCACTGTTGGTCACAGCTGGTGACACAAGCTGGGACTCGACTCTCACTGTTGGTCACAGCTGGTGACACAAGCTGGGACTCGACTCTCACTGTTGGTCACAGCTGGTGACAAGCTGGGACTCGACTCTCACTGTTGGTCACAGCTGTGACACAGCTGGGACTCGACTCTCACTGTTGGTCACAGCTGGTGACACAAGCTGGGACTCGACTCTCACTGTTGGTCACAGCTGGTGACACAAGCTGGGACTCGACTCTCACTGTTGGTCACAGCTGGTGACAAGCTGGGACTCGACTCTCACTGTTGGTCACAGCTGGTGACAAGCTTGGACTCGACTCTCACTGTTGGTCACAGCTGGTGACAAGCTGGGACTCGACTCTCACTGTTGGTCACAGCTGGTGACAAGCTTGGACTCGACTCCCACCATCTTTGTCAGATGATGAGCTTGTTACTGGCTCACCACCCCTACCCCTCCTTACCCAGGTATGTTCTATACTCCATTTATAAAACGAAAGATCGCTAAGTGATACTGTTCCGAGATGTTTATGTGAAAGGAAATCCAGAGGAGTACGAGTACAACGCCTTCCAAATATTTATTTCACAAGCAGGTTGAAAGACGCGTGAGCGTGTTTCGGTCCTGGGACCTTCATCACTACTAAAACACAGAGATTAAAAGGACGGTATATATGTCCTAGTGTTTACTCACGTGCCTTTTTAAACCAAATGGGAAGTACAATGCCTGCAATGTTTGGGATATTGGCAGTTTGGTGGGATATGTTGTGTATATTTATACGTATATACTTCTGAACTGTTGTGTTCTGAGCACCTCTGTAAAAACTGAGTATGTGTGAGTAAGGTGAAAATGTTGAATGATGATGAAAGTATTTTCTTTTTGGGGATTTTCTTTTTTTTTGGGTCACCCTGCCTCGGTGGGAGACGGCCAACTTATTAAAGAATGTGTCTGTATCAGTTACAAAGGTTTGTACCACATTGACAAGACTAAGAGGTCGTTCTGGGGCAGAGGGAAGAAATAAATAAACAGAAAAAAATATATATTTACCAGCCATGAAACAAGGTAATCCTTCTCTGATGGTCTCACACTCCATGACCTGTAAGTCAGCTGGGAGGAGGTCACTCTCCTGCACTCTGAGGAGACCACCACGAAAAGCTCTCAGCTGCTGCTGCTCCGAGACACTCGATCCGTAGATGTTAGATCCGTCTAGGAAGTGTGTGACCTGGTTCATCTGTCAGATAGAGATGTAAGTGTGGTGAAGTGGTGGGAATGCTGGTGAGAGAAAGTGAATATTGAAGAGGAAGTGTAAATAACACCAGACTTCATCTTGCTTACCTGCTCAGCATAGCCTAGATTACACGGAGTGTTGCGGGGAGCCAGCATAGACCTGACGAAGTTCATGCAGCGGCGTCCGGTCCCACCGAAGAAGGGGTCATTAGCAGGCACCTCGATGGGGAAGCAAGCGGGATGGAGGAAGGCAGAGTCAGCGAAGTCACGGTCGTTGTTCGAGCAACACTGGATACCACTGTTGTTACCTGACCAATCCAGAGAAGCGCTTGTCGGGTTTTATTTTATTAAACCCCAAACACAAAACGGTAAAGGCTTTTTCACATAGTTAGGAATTCTTCACTATGTTACGGTAAATAAGGTATAATTACAAATCGGTTGGGGATCTAACCCATGGCAAATGAGTTCTAAAACTCACTGGCCAGTGCGTTTACCACTGGTTCATGCTGGCTTAGCAATTATTATTATTATTATTATTATTATTATAATTATTATTATTAGCTAATCCCGGGGGGTCACAGCACCTGGGCCTAACAAGTTTTCTTTTAGAATTATTTTTAACATCATAGAAGTTACGGGGCCGCACCGTGATTGATGACGGTAAATTGTGCTACCAGTAAGCATTTATTAGTCAACAATCTTTTCTATCAGAAAACACGCAGACTTCATTTTCGACATTTTCTTTGTCATGGCTGCCTCATTCTGCACTCCTCTCCGACGGTTCCACCTTCATTGCTAACTCTTTCAAGGAATTTTGAATTGAAACTAACAAAATTTGCGCAAACTATTTTCTCATTACGCACTTTTACTAAGATTCTATCCCTAACACCCAACAGGGGGGGTTTTTACACGGGTTTTACGCATTACTTAAAACTCAAACCGGGGCTGTTGGGGAGGTGGGTGAATCATGGGCGATAAATGCCCCATTTGCATCATAGAGATGGTAAACTCTAAGCTGGGTCTATCCATGTCGCCAATGATGCTGGTGGACACAAGTCGTGCAGAAGGAAGATTAGCACCAGTCCGGCTCATTCTGGGCCGCGACAGACCTGCAAGCAGAGAAGTAATTATTAGCAAATATGTTAATAATATGTATTTAGATAAATGGTTCAGAGAAGTAAGGGGGTGATGAATTAGACACTTGTGCAAAACTTGGGTATCTTCAGTGTAGAAATGTTTATCCAGCCAGTGGCTTCCTCAGTCCTGTACTGAGAAGAATGGGTGAAGAGCAGAAGGAGTTTGAGGTAATCAGTCCCTCGGCCTTGGAGTTGGTGAAGAGCACCGTAGTCTGTGAAGATTCGAAACGACTACGGTGCTCTTCACCAACTCCAAGGCTGAGAGACTGATTACCTCATCTTTTCTATGTAGTTCATCTATCTTCCAATTTTGTCCTGGAACATGTGTCTTATTCTTCATCTTGTCGGTATTGTATACCATATATGTACAACACTCACCATCACTGTATTGTGGAGGACGTAGCCTCTGGAACGTTGTCCTGGCCTGGCCTATTATGGGATTGTTCAAGTTGTTGCAGGCGCCGTCAATTCTGCGGTAGTAGACGTCTGTCTCCTGGCACACGGGGTTCACCTGGCAGGTGTTGGCGAAATTGGTGTTGGCTACGTTGATCTGTTGCAGACCATATCCTGCCTGCAGGGAACTCAAACGAAAGCTGTAGGCAAAAGGCAAAATGTTAGACGAGGAAATGGCCTTTTACTTGCTAAATTTCACAGACAATCTTCCTGCGGGTACATTGCTGCCTTTAATTTTATGTTAGTAAGTGCGTAAGTAACAACTGTCCAATCTTTATAAGTTAACTACTGATGAGCACTGAAGTAAACATGAGAGTTCTTCAGTGCCTCATATTGTATCAACAAGGATTAAAAATCACTCGTAAAGGAAACTCACTTGTCCCTGAGTTCTTCTGAAGCGTGAACATGAGCCAGAGCAGCATTGTTAAGATCAAGAGCCAGGGGAGATGTCCGGAAGAACTGGAGATGGTGGTAAGCTGGGTCACGAACGTTCGTTAGCTCGATGTCTCGCCTTTGTAATTCCTGTGACAAGAGAATACATTGTGTGTGCTTGCTCTACCTGCAGTCAGTGGTCAGTACGCTGAGGTCAGTGGTTACGAAAGGTTATCCTGTTCTAGCTGTCTGGGGGATTAGTGTGGAACAAGTCGGACCGAAACGTCGTCGTAAGCTTCTCTCTTTTATGTGCGGGTTATTTGTGTATGGCTTGTTGTAGTGTTTTGGAATCTCAGGTTGAAGTGTTAAAGGAGGAGGTTCTACTTCTCCAAGAGGAAAATAGGAGGCTGAAAATACGCCTAGATGGATTTGGGAGTGAGTGTGAGAAGGGTGGAGTCGGCGTGGAGGAAAAGGTTACCAACAGTGAATTGAAGAGTGGCATCCGCCTCAAGTGGAATGTGATCTCTACTAAAGGTAGAAGTATCAAGATAAGGAAGCTTAATAGAGAAGATCTGAAGGTAGGAAATCGATTCTCTATTCTCCAGGACGAGTGTACTTCAGTGGTTAGCGAGGTTTAAGGTACCACTAACTGCCCTGCTAATGAAGGTAAGAACTGTGGTTGTGGGTTACTCATAGGTAAGATATATGGACCATGGTGGTGGAGTGGCAATGTATGTCAAAGATAATTTAAATTGTTGCGTTAGACAAAATATAAGATTAGAAGCATTGGACATAGAATCTGTTTGGCTACAGTTTTTCGAGGGTCGTGACCTTGCTACTGGCGAGTCACAGTCGATCTACCTCAAGAAGTATCCCTTCGATCCCCGTCGGGGAGGGGAATCTATAACGTACATAACAGCGCCTCTACTCTTTCACGATGCTTGCCCATCGTGTAAAGATCAGGCCAACCAGTGGAGTTATCAGTGACTCCACCAAACTTGCCCTTGCTGCCGCTGTAAAGACCTTCCTGCAGGTTAAATTTACAGCTATCCACTTGTTGAAAGACTCCTTCATTGTCGTCTGTACTGACGATCTTGAAGCTTCTAACCCCTCAGGGAAGGTTCCTTGATGTTGGTGAGGGGCTCTTGATTTAGGGAATTGGATCTGTGCTCCAGTTCCCCAAATTAAGCCTGAATGCCTTCCACATCCCCCCCCCAGGCGCTGTATAATCCTATGGGTTTAGCGCTTCCCCCTTGATTATAATAATAATAATTGAAGCTTCTAAACTGATGGACGACACCGTTATAAAGATTTAGTGACCGACAGTTCACCGTTTCTCCACCTTTTCTGCTGGCGAAACTTTCTGTTTTTGTCAAATGTTTGAACAAGATCATAACATCCTTATCGACTGATGACCTGAAGACCTCAATCGAAGAACAAAACTCTTGGTCATCGACTGACAACATCACCAAGATCCCAAATACATCTTCTATGATCAAGATCACCTTCTCCAACATCGATATGGCTACCAGAGTACTTTCTGATGGCCTAGCAATCTCCTACTACCATATTAATCCACGACAAACAGAACCAGAACGTTTCGCTCACGTCTCTCCCTGCTGGAACTGCTATTCATACCACCATTCAACGACCGACTGCCCCATTAAAGACAAGAAATTCTGTTCCAACTGTGGAAAAGAAGGACGCGATTTCAAAGCCTGTTCCAGCACCAATGCTACACCAACCTGCCTCAACTGCAAGGGCACTCTTCATACCCTTGCAGCCAAATGCCCTCTAAGGAAGGAAGCGCTGACTGAGAAACTCAAAGAAGCTAAGAAGAGCAGCCCAAAATCGCCGACATAGGCCGCCATAACTCACCCAAGTTCTGGAATTCCTCAAGCCTCTTCGATTCACTTTTGGAAACAAGACAAAACTTTACTACCTCTCTAGAAGCATCTTAAGAGATTTGAGAATGGATCTCCTACAAACCTCCCACCCTTTTCGCGTAAAACAACACTCCCCAGTTCTACCCTTGATGTCCTCCCCTCCCCCTGTCCTGCGCAAAAGTGTCAGCTTGTCAAGTCTGCTGACAAAAATTTCCCACAAAACCAACGAAAATAGCCTCTTTTCCATTTTGAAGTCGTTTTAACATGACTCACGAAATCGTAATGACACGATTTTGAGACTCTCTGACGGGGGTTCAAATCCCGCCCTGTATGTTTTTTTTTTTCTGAAGTCGTCCCACAATGCCTGCTGCGGGAAGCTCCCGCTTTTTTCTCGGCTAACAACACCCTCCCCAACGTATTTTCGTGTCCCGTCTTCCCCGCTCCCCCATTTGCGATTCCCAATACTTTTTGATCTTGACTTCAAAAAAACTAGTTGAGCTTATTTTCTTCACGAAAATTAATTATTAATGTTGGGGCAAACATTTTAATTTTTCTGTAGATTGGTATGAGTGTGGATTAATTGTTCTTGTAAGATCAAGTGTATTTATCATTTTTTAAACCCAAACTTTAAAAAGAACAAAATATTGAAAGAACAAGAAACTGAAAAAAAAAATCAAAGAAAAAATTGAAAAACAAAAGAAATTTAAGAAAGAACAAAAAATTGAAGAAAAAAAATGAAAAAAGAACAAAAAAATGAGAAAAGAGCAAAAAAAAAAAAAATGAACTGACTGAAGAATTGGAAGCAGAAAGAAAGAGAAGTGAAATCTGTCTTTTTTAATTCCAGGTAGGAGCTTAAACAGAGTGACGAGCAAGGTCTTTACGAAGTCAGAGACGAGAAACAGAGTAAATACAAGTATTTACCTCCTCCAAGAGTTCTATCTTCTGCACCTCCAAGATACCCAGCTTGAGAGCCTCTTGGACGATGATATCACTGAAGCCCAGGGGAGGAAGTTCAATCACAGGTTCGGTGAACACCTGCTGCAGGTTTCCTGACGAGTGAAATGTTCATCGAGTATACATACACAGTGGCGGACCTACATATTTTTAGTCCTGAAGCCTGAACTGTTATGGTGTCACCTTCACAAAGGCTAGGGCTGCATGATACTTTAATAACAATTAATTTTTATCATTAATTTTTATTTTAACTATTATTCTGTAATGAATTACACTATATTATTAATATTACTATCTAAAAAAAAATCCTTCTCATACAGAAGACCGAAAATTTTAAGCAATGTGGACTAAAGTCGCTTCTGGGGCCCTTCCAGGATTAGGGGCCCTGAAATTTAGGCTTCATTAGTTTCATAGCAGAGCTGCCCGTGATTGAGAGTAACGTCATTCATTATATTTGTACGTTAATAAGTAAGATACATGTGCAACACTTAGGTAACTTTATTCTGAAAAGTTTCGCCTAACAGTAGGCTTCTTCAGTTGAGTATAGAGGAGGCAACAGAAGCAGTAGATGTGTAAAGGCGATGTAATCAGTCCATAATTATTGTTCCAGACTATGAAGCAAAACTCTTTTTGCAGGTTGAGGGACTGATCACCTCAATATTACGTCTTCAAGGGTGATGGACTGCTAATATCGTCTTTACATCTCGACTGCTTCTGTGATAAGTGGTTTTGAGAACCGACAGGTTGAAGATTGAGACACTTACGTAACATATCGGAATTTTTACTGAAGAAACGTTTCACCACACAGTGGTTTCATCAGTCAAATACAAAGCAGAAAGGTGTACGGAGAGGAGGAGTTTGAGGTAATCAGTCCAATAATGGATGGTTCCACTGTGATCCCGCCTCCTGCTTCGACTCACGTGACTGAACACATCGATTCCAAGCTGAGGGACTGATTACCTCAAACTCCTCCTCTCCTTACACCTTTCTGCTTTGTATTGGACTGATGAAGCCACTGTGTGGCAAAACGTTTCTTCAATAAAGATTCCCATGTGTTGCATAAGTGTCTCAATCTTCTGCTGCTTCTGGTACCTCCTCTGTACGTGACTGAAGAAACCTACTGTGTAGGCGAAACGTTTCGGAATAAAGTTACCTAACTGTTTAACATGTGTCTTACTTATTTTATATGTAAACAAGAATGGAGTTACTTCAGAGAGATTAGAATTAAGGTACACGAAAAAATGAAAAGAAACAAAGATTTGGAGAAAGAAACTTTTACAAAGGAACAACGAACAAAGGTAAAAAGGATCCATATCGCTTCATCATGTTCGAAACAAAGCAAATTTAATGTAAAAGATAAAATATAAACAATATGGGATTTAAACCTGGAACAGCCAGTTAAAATGGAGGATAGACAAATAACTCGCACATAGAAGACAGAAGCTTACCACGACGTTTCGGTCCGACTTGGACCAATTAGTGTGACTTTGTAAATGGTTCAAGTAGAATCGAAACGTCGTCGCAAGCTTCTCTCTCCGAAGAGTGGGTTATTTGTGTATTGTTCCAGTCACGGTATTGTGACTTGTTGTTCACAATGGATGACACTGAGATATACAAAGAGGATCTAAAGATGTGCTTTATGCTGACACAAAAACACAATGACAAGAACCAGATGAGACGGCAAAACAGGTTTTACAAGAATGTGCACAGCTGGAGTATTCACTCCGGATTATTTTTTTGTGTGATTTTATAATAATTAGTAATCTGGAAGATAAAACTGACACTAACATCCATAATGCTGGTATATACTGAGAGTAATACGTATTCATGGGGAAGCGGTATGTAGAATCCTTCAGTAGCATCAAGAGGAATTGTAAACAAAATAGGAACGTTATATACTGAAGATGTTCCTGTAGCTAGAAATAAATTCAAATACTGTGGAACCTCGGTGTTTGAACTTAATTGGTACCCAGGTGGGGGATGTTCAACTGACTTTTCCAAAAGTCTCTGAGAGTCATGTCAGTGTCAGAGGTCACTTCAAAGCACTTTTGAAACAGGACTTTCCTGTAGAGTTTTTTTACAGCTGAATTTTTAAAAAGCCGGTGCGTTCGGACTCCAGAAAAACGTTCAAAGACCGAGTCAGTTTTTTTTTTTTCCGAACAAAATTGTTCGGACCCGGTGTGTTCGAGCTCTGGTACGTTCGAACAGGTAGGTTCCACTGTACTTTATTTATTTTATGTAGTATCCAAATAATGTAGTTTACATGTAATAAAATATTGTTAGGCACAACAGAAAGCCACTAGCATGCTGTGCAGTTCAGATAAACAGTATTTATTCAGATCATGTGATACAACACAAAGAACTGAATAAACTAGAGACAAATCACTGATGAAAGAACCAAGACCTAAACTCACTGGTAGTGGGTGGTTCAGGGCAGCAGACGCCCACAGCACCACCAAAGATGGAACAAGCAAGCTGTGGCTGGTTCTCCACCTCATGGTAGCAAGGTGCACAACGCACCAGTGGTACACACTCGAGACCGCTAGGACACACGCTGACTCCAGGCACGTCTGGCGTCACTGTGGGAAGGTGACGAGGCAAGGATGAGAATAAATTTGGAGAATTTTTAATAACAGGTTAATGTTCATGGTTTGAAATTAAGACTAGAGGTTGATTAAAAGTGATTTTGATGTGCTAGTAATGTGGAAGGACCTGAGTGGTGATGAAGATGCGTTGTGTCTGATATCTATAAGTCACCATCTGAACATCATCCTTCACATGTAGATGTGCAACTTACAAGTGTACATTAAATACAGTGTATGTGTATGGTACGATAATTTGAAGCATTTAGTTATGTACACTTTGGTGATCTACAAATACGATTCAATCAAAAAATATTTAATGGAACGAAAGGATAAATATTTATTCGAGTTAAAAGAAACCACAAGAATTTTTGAATCAAGTTGCTTCAACACTTTCTAACAGAGGCCACCGGATTTCCTTTCATTTTCTCAGTATTAGAACAACTGTCTCCTGCAGATACAAACTCTTTTTTCATAATGTATATTGGAAACCTAATGACTTAATATGTTTAAATAGCGAAGCATTTGGCCATCCTCCATGCTGTGACTCCCAATAGCCCAGTAACACCAAGGTATCCATTTACTGATTGCTAAACAAGGACACAGGGCGTGAAGAACTGGTGAACAGAAATACAAGACATAAACAACTGTGTCCATACATCGCTCTTTCTCGAGAATTAGAACCCAGGATATTACTGTTGTGAATCATCCTGTGCTATTAATGTGTGTGTATGTGTGTAATATGGACAATCCCCGTGTGATCACATAATTTTCTTACGGTGAGACGGCTGGGCAGAGTTACTGAATGCTGCGTGTTATAGGTCTTTATTACACTTTTTTATATATAAAATAAACTATACTAAAACCGAAGCGTACCTCCGAAGAGATGTGTGGGTTGCTGGAGGGGAAGGAGATGGAAAGGTACTGGGGTGACCTGATTTCGGAGGCCAACCCCAGGTATCAGGAAGGGCACAGCAGGTGCCTGAGAACGGGTAGGGCTGTAAGGTACGACGGCCCTCGTCGACACTGGTATCCGAGAAGCCTGGAACTACAGAAGTGTGCATTAAACAAGTGGCTAATGTACTGTGGTTGTGAAGCAGCTGGTAGATCTGAGGTTCTCACCAGGCTCACAGCTCTTAGTTGAAATACAAGAACCTAGGGTTTAATAGACTCATTGTGCGAATTATGCTGCGTATGCTTGCAGATATATGCGTATGCTCATTAATAACCCACAGGGAGACAGAAACTCGGGAGATTAATTGATCTGTATTTTTCGACCCTCTTCTGATATCCTCTTCCGCAGATCTGCTGAAAGTATATATTATAAATGTATATATATATATATATATATATATATATATAATATATATATATATATTATATATATATATATATATATATAATGTCGTGCCGAATATGTAAAACTGGTCAATTAGCAAGAACTCATTTAAAATTAAGTCCTTTCTGAAATTTTCTCTTATACGTTTAAATATATATTTTTTTCATTGATGTAATGTAAAAATTTTCAATTTTGCACCAAAAGAATCTTAAAAAACTTACCTAACCTTATTATAACAAGAACAATTTATTTTAGCCTAACCCAACTAAATATATTTTAGATCTGTTTACAGTAATTTAATACTAAACAAACACAGTGAAATATATATTTTTCGTTAGGTTCAGAATGATTTTGGCGAAATTATTGCATACACAAATTTTCACTTGTCTTATATGGCAAGATGAGCGTTGCTATTTAAGCCAAGATCGTAAGTTCTGCCTATTCGGCACGACATATATATAAAGAAAAACGAAAGTTCCTCCCTTTCAATTTAGTAATATATACAGGAGAAGGGATTACTAGCCCCTTGCTCTTGGCATTTTAGTCGCTTCTTACAACACGCATGGCTTACGGAGGAAGAATTCTGTTCCACTTCCCAGTTTTTGACTGTACTATTCCCGCAACTAAAAACTCACCTAATTTGAACGACCCATCACTGATATTGTATAATGAATGCTTATCATGCTTAATAATTGCCGATTCTACAATATTCCTTTCAAGCCAAGAGGAACAAGGGAAGATGACGCTTGCTTCCTGCCAATTTGCCGTGTTTATTAGATGCGTTTTTAGTTGAGGCAGTAGTACACAGTCAAGAATTGGGCTCTTATACGAATGCAATTGATTGTCTTAATTGTAGTGTTACACCGAGGACTTAGAGCCTGTTTTTCTTGCAGTCTCTGAAGGTTGAACCAGAGTTTGCCTTAGAATCATGTGGGATGAATAACTGTGGCTGTCTCTCTTGTAAATACAGATGCATCCCTCTTTAAATGAGTTTATTTTAATGAGCCTCCGGTTTCTTTGTGTAACTTTTATAAGTCTCCCCTTTAATGTTCCCGTTTTCTCGTCCCTTTAAATGGATCCGCTTTCTCGTAGATGGTTACTCCATAATTGCCAGTGACTTCTATATTACTGGCAATATAATTATGTAGTATGTAAAATCATTTATATCATAGCGGAGTCTGACCGAATTTTGGATTACTGCCACGTAGCTCGATAGCTAGCGCACTCAGCTCACACACTGAGGTCCGGAATTCGAATCTTCCGTAAGGCTAGAAAACATTAGGGACGTGTTTCCATAAGACACCTGATGTCTCATATTCATCCATCAGTATAAAATGGGTACCTGGGTGTTAATCGACTGGTGTGGGTCGCATCCTGGAACAAAACTGACCTAATTTGCCCGAAATGCTCAGCATAACAAGCGGCTTTCTATGCAGTACTATGTCAGTGATGTCAGCTATGGTCTGTATACCTTGTACATGTACTTGCAGAAATAAAGATATTATTATTATTATATTATTTAGGCTACTGTTACAATATTAATGCTTGTGGGATTTTTCTAATGCTATAATATTTAACCTTCTGACTATGGGCACTGGTATGCCTTAGGGGCATTTCCTGTTCCCTTCTCTCTCTCTCTCTCTCTCTCTCTCTCTCTCTCTCTCTCTCTCTCTCTCTCTCTCTCTCTCTCTCTCTCTCTCTCTCTCTCTCTCTCTCTCTCCGGTGAAGACGTCCTTTGGAATAGTATTTGGTTGGACATCCTCCTCTTTGCTGCAACTCTGCAAGCTCCTGATGTGTTGATTGCAACACGAAAGGCTTAGAGCTATCATGCTACTTATATATATACATATATATACATATATATATATATATATATATATATATATATATATATATATATATATATATATATATATATATATATATATATATATATACATGTATATATATATATATATATATATATATATATATATATATATATATATATATATATATATATATATATATATATATATATATAAAATGTATATATATATACATATAATGTATATATATATCCTATTCTTGCGAGTATCTTTATCATTGTAATGAGATTTAGACAGACTAGTTTTAAAATCTTTTTTTTTAACTCGCTATAATTCCTCACCCTGGAGCTAACACTTTACATTCATTCCCTTCAAGCGTTATTTCCCATACCTGATAAATTTCAAGCTTGGTGAGCCATATACTCTATAAATTCCAAACTTTGTATATTATGTGACCCATCATTCATCTTGCTATATAGATCACGATAACTACGCATTACAGTGTCTCTTACCGAGAAACGTCACCTCAACTTCTAGCGCACTCAGCTCACACTCTGAGGTCCGGAGTTCGAATCTCCGGCACGGCTGGAAAACATTAGGGATGTCTTTCCATAAGATACCTGCTGTCCTTGTTCACCCATCAGTATAAAATGGGTATCTGGGTGTTAGTGGACTGGTGTGGGTCCATCCTGGGACAAAATTGACCTAATTTGCCCGAAATGCTCTGCATAATAAACGACTTTCTATATAGTAGTATGTCATTTATTTATTTATTTATTTATTTATTTATTTGAACATGATACAGTGAAGTACAAAGGAATACAGTTATTACATTGCAACATGCCAAAACCCCTTGTATGCAGAGCATTATGGGCAGGCTTAAAATAACTTCTTAAGATTAACTAAGCAATGATATATTCAGTGGTAAAAACATTATTGTAAACAGATAACAATTTAGCACAAATGAGTATTACAAAGACAGGTCATATGGTCATTTACTGTGTTGCTGAGCATTCAGTAATGGAGTATTCTGTTATCAGCTATGGTCTGTATATCAGCTATGGTCTGTATATCAGCTATGGTCTATATCAGCTATGGTCTGTATATCAGCTATGGTCTGTATATCAGCTATGGTCTGTATACCTTGTACATGTACTTGTAGAAATAAAGATATTATTATTATTATTAAACATTACCGGCAACATTCATAAAGGAACTTACCGATGGTGTACCAGCGAAGGCACCCGGACTGATGATAGCTCCAGCTAGGGTGCTGGAGGCATGGGTGGTAGCCACAGTGGGGCGCCCCGCCACTACTGTCAAGGGTATGTCACCGTAGCGTCTGCAGAGTGGGAAGGAGGAAATGTTGTTTGGACTTTGATTTTTAGGAAAAAATCCTGAGATGGGTATTATTCATATGACGACCTTCTCAGTAGTTCACCAAGAACATCTTAAAATTGTCGCAGCTAAACAGTAGCGTCCTTGACTGAGGGTCACAGGTTTAGCGTCCGTGGTAGAGTACTTGACTCTTCACCGCTGACTTGTGGCTGCTGAAGAGGTGTGCTGAACTAGTAATATACATGTGTGTGTGTTTTCTGCCTTCAAATTTTATGTAGCAGGAATCTAACCATAGCGGGTTATTAAAACATATGAAATAGTACTGTGCATGAATATAATATTAGGGTAGCCTTTCACAACATTCATCCTTTCTTCCCTTTACTCTCAAGAGTTCATGGGCTCAATTCCCACCCGTTCCGTGGTTTGTTTGTAATCGTGTTATTACGATTTTACGAGTCATACAAGAGATACTTTCCTACTCCAGCTTTTGTCAGAGTCTGACTCTGTCAATATCTGTATACAATGATGCAAGAAGACTTGCCCGTGCGTCCTGCCTTTTCTCCAAGTTAACTCTGGACCTTTCCGTTGTGAACAGGATGTTCTAACCGTTTATAACATCAACACCGCTGGAAACTTTAAAAGAGTTTTATATACCAGTGTAGCTGGTGTGTCCCTGCTGACCCACCTGTAACTGGGATGAATGTGACGAGTGTCTCTGTTATCATCATCTGGGCCCTCACTGAGCTCATCATCTGAAGCCCTGACATTGGCTTTCTTCTCCTCCTCCTCCTCTGCAGGCTTGTTGCTGCTCTCTTCCTCTGTTTTCTTGGCAGCAGTGAACCCAACCAGAAGGAATAACAGCGTGACTGTTATGTGACTGAAACAATAACAAAGTTACTATTATGTGAACGAAATTATAATTATTAGAACTGCTGGACAGCTATACAAATGTTATTATAGATAGCAGCAGCCCTAAAGTCAACTACAGTAATAATACATCAGCTCCATCCATCTACACACACACACACACACACACACACACACACACACACACACACACACACACACACACACACACACACACACACACACGCGTGCGTGCGTGCGTGCGATCTAGTTCTGGTTCTAGGAAATTGTCAGCGGTCATTGTGCACCATATAGTCAGTGAATATTCCTACAAGAATATACCAAGGTTTCCAGGGATTGAAAAAAGTGATAAGGTCAGAAGAGTAGCGTAGCCAAGTGTGATAAAGTCCTCCCCCCCCACTTTTTTTTTCTCAAAGACAAACGAGCGTGTAACCGCATACACACACACACACGCACACACACACACACACACACACACACACACACACACACACACACAGTGGGCGCCTGTTACGAGCGGGGTCCCACAGGGGTCAGTTCTAGGACCAGTGCTATTTTTGATATATGTGAACGACATGATGGAAGGAATAGACTCTGAAGTGTCCCTGTTCGCAGATGACGTGAAGTTGATGAGAAGAATTAAATCGGACGAGGATGAGGCAGGACTGCAAAGAGACCTGGAGAGGCTGGACATGTGGTCCAGTAACTGGCTCCTCGAATTCAATCCAGCCAAATGCAAAGTCATGAAGATTGGGGAGGGGCAAAGAAGACCGCAGACAGAATATAGGCTAGGTGGACAAAGACTACAGACCTCACTCAGGGAGAAAGACCTTGGGGTGACCATAACACCGAGCACATCACCGGAGCACACATCAACCAAATAACCGCTGCAGCATACGGCGCCTGGCAAACCTGAGAATAGCGTTCCGATACCTTAATAAGGAATCGTTCAAGACACTGTACACTGTGTATGTTAGACCCATACTGGAGTATGCAGCACCAGTCTGGAACCCACACCTGGTCAAGCACGTCAAGAAGTTAGAGAAAGTACAAAGGTTTGCAACAAGGCTAGCCCCAGAGCTCAAGGGAATGTCGTACGAGGAAAGGTTAAGGGAAATCGGACTGACGACACTGGAGGACAGAAGGGTCAGGGGAGACATGATAACGACATACAAGATACTGCGGGGAATAGACAAGGTGGACAGAGATAGGATGTTCCAGAGAGGGGACACAGGGACAAGGGGTCACAACTGGAAGCTGAAGACTCAGACGAGTCACAGGGACGTTAGGAAGTATTTCTTCAGTCATAGAGTTGTCAGCAAGTGGAATAGCCTAGCAAGTGAAGTAGTGGAGGCAGGAACCATACATAGTTTTAAGAAGAGGTATGACAAAGCTCAGGAAGCAGAGAGAGAGAGGATCCAGTAGCGATCAGTGAAGAGGCGGGGCCAGGAGCTGAGTCTCGACCCCTGCAACCACAATTAGGTGAATTAGGTGAGTACACACACACACACACACACACACACACACACACACACACAAACGTATACACATACTCAGACAAACCTAATCTGACACATTAGCTCATAAATCCCCCCCCCCAACCACACGCATACACAATTTTACACAAAGCTGAAGGAACTAAAGTATTCATACAGGATAAAAAATATGGGATCTCAAAAGGGAGGACGTAAAGGGAAGGGAACCAGGATGATTGATCTGAAAAAGAAGAATGGGTAGAACAGCCCAAGAACAAAATGGAACAAGAATAGGAAAAAAGGTTAAATGAGTTTTGCAATAACATGTTAGAGAAGATATCTGCAGAGAGCAAGAAGTGGGAATCACGAGCTGTAGTAGCTGAGGCAAAGATACACAGACTGGAGAAAAAAATGGATGTGCTGAAGCAGGATATAAAGATGAGGTCCGAGAGGAGCAAGGTGACTGAAATGGGAACATCAGCAGGCAGAGAGGGGACTAAAGGAGGGGATGGAGCTAAGAAATCTTTTGCAGCAGTAATATCAGGCCATCATGGTGTCTGGGAGATGATAAGGCAAACAACAAAGGAGATGCTTAAATCAGAGCCAGAGATATGGAGGGAAAAGAAATGGGAAGAAGAGAGGGAGAGGTCAATAATTATTCATGGGCTTCAGGAGGCTGAAGGGAAGACCTATGATGAAAGAAAGCATTGGGAGGAAACAGAGATTAAGAACATCTTTGCAATAACAGGAGAGAAGGACATGTTTCAGATAGAATATTTTCACAGACCTGGGGGGTATTTGAGGGAAAAAATATCGACCAATCAGATTAACATTCAAGACAGAAGTGGTACAGAACAGGATACTACAACAGAAGCCACTGTTAAAGGACTCTCCAGATTATCAACAAGTGTACCTCTATCGAGACAACACGAAAGGAAAGGGAACAACTGAAAGTGAGAACAAAGTGAAACTCAGTGGAAGGAAAGAGAGACAGGACAGGCAATGACAGTCAGGAAAGCTCAGCCTTTGGGGGAACATCACACATAAATGCTTGCAGAAACCTCTCAACCGCTGTCACCACATATCAACCAAACACTATAACCAGAAACAAACCACACTCCATAGCCCCCACCCCCCGAAGCACTAATTTATAAATCACAGCAGCCTCCCATAATCTGCCCTGCCTCCCACCCTCCCAGCCTGCACCTTCCTCTTCCATCTCCCAAAATACAGTAATGGAAAGGTAGCTAACGGTAAGGTACACCAATGCAGATGGAATAACAAATAAGAGTGAAGAGTGGCAAGAACGAATCATTGATGCATCACCTGCATCATAGCACTAACAGAGACAAAACTTACAGGGATGATAACAGATGCAATTTTTCCACCTGGATATCAGATTATGAAGAGAGGGAGGAGCATCACTGTTCATCAAAAACCAGTGGAGTTTTGAGGAAATGGGGGGAATGGACAGAAGGGAAGCAGATGACTTCATTGTAGGAACACTTCAGACTGGGGGTCCAGAGGTGATGATAGCAGTGATGTATAACCCACCACTGAACAGCTGGAGGACAAAACAAGAGTATGATGTGTGCAATAGGACAATGGTGGATGCACTAGCTGAAGTGGCCAGGAGGGCTCATATGGGTAGGACAAAATTACTTATAATGTGGGATTTCAATCATAAAGAGAGTGACTGGGAAAACCTAGAGCCACGTGGTGGACCAGAAATATGGAGGGCTAAGATGTTAGAGACTGTATTGGAGAACTTCATGCACCAACATGTTAGGGATACAACCAGAGAGAGAGAGGAGAGGATGTTGCAGCAAGGCTGGATCTCATATTCACCTTGAATAGTTCAGACAGGGGACATTACACACGACAGACCCCTTGGCGCTAGTGATCATGATGTCCTGAGTTTTGAATACCTTGTAAAGTTAACAGTGGAGAATGCAGCAGCAAGAGAACAGCGAGAGAAGCCGAACTTCAAAAAAGGGGACTACGGAGGAATGAAAAGTTTCCTGCATGAAGTGCAGTAGGAAAGAGAACTAGAGGGAAAGACAGTAAATGAAATGATGGAACTAGTGACCACTAAGTGCAGGGAGGCAGAGGAGAAGTTCATACCAAAGGGCAACAGAAAAAATGGTAAGAACAGAGTGAGCCCATGGTTTAATTGGAGGTGTAAAGAGGCCAAAGCCAAGTGTGCTAGAGCATGGAAAAGGTATAGAAGGCAAAGGACTCAAGAAAACAAGGAGCTGAGCAGAAGAACCAGAAACGAATATGCAGGGATAAGGAGAGAGGCCCAGAGGCAATACGAGAACGAGATAGCATCAAGAGACAAATCTGAACCAAAGTTGTTATACAGTCACATTAGGAGAAAAACAAAAGTCAAGGACCAGGTAATCAGGCTGAGGAAAGAAGGAGGGGAGCTGACGAAGAGTGACCAAGAAGTATGTGATGAACTAAACAAAAGATTTAGAGATGTATTCACAATAGAGTCAGGAATGCTTCCAGCAAACTGTGGAGGTAGGGTGCACCAGCAGGTGCTGGACACAATAAACATAACTAGGGTAGAGGTGAAGAAACTGCTAGGTGAACTAGGTACCTCAAAGGCGGTGGGCCCAGATAACATATCTCCATGGATACTGAGAGAGAAAACAGAGGAACTGTGTGTGTCGCTAGCAGGAATCTTCAGTAAATCTATCGAAACTGGGCAGTTGCCCGAGGCGTGGAAGACAGCAAATGTAGTTCCAATTTTTAAGAAAGGGGACAGACAGGCAGCGTTAAACTACAGACCAGTGTCATGGAAAAGATTATCAGGAAAAGAGTAGTGGAACACATTGAAAAGATTGGGCTCATACATGACAATCAGCACGGCTTCAGAGATGGGAAATCCTGTGTCACAAATCTAGTTGAATTCTACGATGAGGTAACAGAAGTAAGACAGGAGATAGGGGTGGGTAGATTGCATCTTTTTGGACTGCAAGAAGGCTTTTGACGTAGTACCACACGAGACTGGTGCAAAAATTAGAGGAGCAGGCAGGAATAAAAGGGAAAGTACTGCAGTGGATCAGTGAATACCTGACAGGAAGGAAACAGCGAGTGTTGGTACGTGATGAAGTGTCGAGTGGGGTTCCACAAGGATCAGTCCTAGGACCAGTGCTGTTTCTTGTATACGTGAATGACATGGTGGAAGGAATAGATTCAGAAGAGTCACTGTTCGCTGATGATGTGAAACTTATGAGGAGAATACAAGCGGGCGAGGATTAGCTAAGATTACAAGGGGATCTGGACAGACTACAAGTCTGGTACGACAAAGGCTCCTGGAGTTTAACCCCAGTAAGTGTAAGGTCATGAAGACTGGGGAAGCACACAGCAGACCGCAGACGGCGTACAGGTTAGGAAATCAAAGGCTGCAAACGTCACTTAAAAGCATCTTGGGGTAAGCATTATAACAAACATGTCCCCTGAGGCACACATCAGTCAAATAACTGCTGCAGCATATGGGCGACTGGCAAACCTGAGATTAGCGTTT